CCCGACCCCTCCCCCCCTCCCCTCCCCACCCACTTGGAAGGAGCCCCGCGACTTGCTCCAACCACCTCCCCACGTTTGCCAATGGCTCACCAACAACTTCCCACCCGACATTTCCGACACCAAAGTCCAGCGATGGATCACCTCCCAGAAAACCAGCAAAGAGAGCAAGCAAGTCCTAAAAAGCTGGTCCAACGACTGCGCAAAATGGGCAACCACACTGGACTCCGACACCAGAGCCCAACTCGAACGAGCCGCTGTGCTATGGGGCATCCCGGTGCGAACCCTATCAAAACTGGGGTCATCGGCCTTGGGCCGCATCCTGGCCGCTGCGAGTCACTTTTATCAGTGACTCTCAACAGCACACCGACAACGACGCACAGCCAGGCAGCACAAATTTTGGCAACACCACTGCTGCCAATTTCTCACTGTCCTCCGTTTCACTCTTCGGTTCTTCCCAACCGATGACGTCACCGCACGTCATTTTTGCTCCTGGCTACTCGCGCAGCTTCAGCTACTTGACGTCTGCCATCTCTCCTGTGGTTCCGGCAGACTGAAAGCCCTGCTTACTCGACTTGGCCTGGACAACCCTGCTTCCGATTTCTCTTCTCAGCTTGTCCCTTCAGCGGTTTATCTGAGATTCACCAGCCATCCAAAGTGGCAGTCCTTTTTCTACCTCGGAGCCACTCGCACCTCCCTCATGGCACGGGACCACAGCCGACTTCGCAAACTACTCCAAGTTCAGCGACATCATCTGGTCAATGCCGAACTAGCAGTCCGGTGGTGGGCACATTTTAACATTTTCCACCACTACACCTCGGTGCCCATTCACACTGCCGTTCCAGCAACGGACCTATTTGCCACTGAACAGTTCTACATCCAGGAACTGCAACCGTCTCTCAATTTTGGCTTCATCGAGAGACATTTCCGGCCACGCACGGGCTTCACACGCCAATTGGACTTCTCCCAATCCCGGCACAAGGGCTTCGCCACCATCTGGCGAAAACGCCGCCGACTACGACTACCCATCGCCCTACAACAGGCCTTCCTGGCCAAGCGCATGAACAACCGCCTGGTTTTGTGGCGATTTTTGGGCGATCTTGGCAGCAACACTCTACGACGATTTGATGCCATCCGTTACATACGGAGCAGAGACTTCCCACCCGCCGCTCTCTATTTCCTTCATCGCATAGCCACACACCTGCCTGAACCACACCACCAGGCATGCCTTTCCGCCATTCGATCCAGTTTACGATTCCGGGGCCTCATTCCACCTGGCCCCTCCAGACCGATGCTTGCACCCTTCCACGCCCATCCTTCTTTCCGATCCCTGCTTTTAACCCAACTTCGCGGGTTTATTCGATCTACCACTCGCAGCGCTTTACCGTTTCACATGGCACAACCACGCATTGTCTTCAAGGCACATCGGAGACTCTCCAGTGCCTTGTTCTCACATCTCCAGGCAGCAAAAACCTGGAGTCTCGGTGAAACGACCTGCACATGCACCGACCTCGCCCAACGACACCCATCCCTCCCGAAGCATGACGGACACCTTCTTTTCTCCGGTGCAGACACCCATGAGCTGTTCGACTCCGACACTGCCCACATGCTATCCGGATCGATGCGCAACTCCTTCTTTCCTCCACGAGGGGTCTTGATGAGTCGCCTGACCCAGGCATTTCAACACTGGGCCAGGACCAACAACCTACCCGCGCTCGACCCATCAACCCTCACTACTATTTGTCGAATTCCATTTCGACCTCCACCTTTCACACACATCACAGTACTTTCTTCACGCCCACGTCCAACGGGCTCTGCATACCCTGGAACCCCTTGTCCGCCATTGCGAAGACCATGCGGACTCCCGACTCATGATCTATTGTCCCGTTCTCTACGGCAAGATGTTGGAAGCCACTTTTGCGGACCCTGCCATCTTCGCCCCTCTGCCGGTCCCTGCCATTGAGATCCACCAACGACTACGAGAAACCATTGTCACCAGATTCCGCGGCCGCTATCCTTGGGCCGTGACCGGATTCGGAAGGCCAGCCAACGCCTACATCCTCCCGAAGAGGAAGAAGAACTGGACCACTGCCCGGCCCATCATCAGTTTCATTGGCGCCTTCTTCCGACCCATGCTCGACGCTCTCGCCAAGCTCCTCCACAGCATGGTGGCCACGGCTTGCCCTGACGCGTTTTCAGGTGACGACCTCTTTGAACTCATGCGGTCCTTGCACGAGTTTCTAAGCCTCGGCCACACCCATTTGGACTACCGAAACCAGGACCTTTCCGGTTTTTTCACCTCCATCGACAAAGACCGCTTCTTAGCAGCCTGGCGACTACTGCTAACCTGGTACCGACAACGACAACCACACTCCTCTACCCCACACCTCACAGTGGACACACTTGACACCTCTGCCATCACCCGCGTCTACAACGGACGCCGTCGCCGACACAAACCCACACAACGCACCCTGTGGCTCGACGACATCCCCGAGATCATTCAGGCCACCCTTGACATGCAGATCTTCTCTGTCGGCCTTCGGTCATTCAGGCAAACACGTGGGGCACCGATGGGATCCCCCGCGTCCCCAGCTCTCTGTTTGATGGTGATCGCGGTCGCCGAACAATGTTGGACCAACACTCACATCACATCGGGACTTCGCTCCGTTGAAGATACTCTCCTGCTCCGCTACGTGGACAACAGACTCGTGATCGCAACCCCCAGGTGGCTCTCGACTCCGGCAGCCAACATACTGTGCGACGAACACTTCTATGGAGGAGACATCGTCCTGGAAACAGAAGCCGCCCTGGACTTCTTGGGGTTCCGACTGAACCTCACAAGCAGCACCATCTCCTTCAGTCCCTCGCATGAGAAGCACAACATGCTCTCCGTCAAGTCAGCCGCACCAATGATACATAAGGAATCTGGATATTATTCCAGACGCACGCTGATCAGCCGAGTTTCCTTTCCTGAATTTCAGCGAGATCAGGATCTTGCAATGTTGAAGAGGTTGTACCTCCAACACGGTTTCACCTTACAAAGAGAAGAAAAACCGTCCTTTGCGAAACCACACTGGTTTTCTTCTCTGCCTTTGCATCCTGACAGATTTGACCTGATTTTCGTGCCGCAGCTGTTTGACTGTTTGACCAAAATCCGTTGCGAGCATGGATACCAACACAGCACGCCAGCTGCTCCAAGACTTCGAACTCATCCTTGGCATTGCCCAACAAGGCATCGCCACCATCCGCGAGTTCCCTGAGAGTCCGACTGCCGAACCTGATTTGGCACCGGAGGCCACGCTCAACCCCGCCATTGAGGACCTGACCAACTCACCACCAACACCCCTCCTGGCCCCCCTCGAGGACCTCTTTGAGCCACCTCCTGATGCTCCAGATGAACACATTCCCACTGATCATGACGAACAATTCCCTGATCATTGGGCTCCGCCCACCCCTCCTCCGTCTTCTCCCGGCGAAAAACGAGCTCGCCGCGCACGTGATTTGGCCTCCTCACGATCTACGGCATCCAAAACCTGCTCGTGGACCAAGCGAAGCTACCACATCGACCAGGACTGATGCCTCTACTGAGGCCGAACCTGAAGCCTCGCAGCCTTGGTCTGAGGGAGAGATTGAACTCCTCCGTTCCCTTAAGACCAATTCCAAAGCCAAGTATGTGTGGTCAGTCATCGCCACAAGACTTTCTCGCACAATTGATGCTTGCAAGACTCAATGGGCCTTGCACAAGTGATGTCGCCCCAGTTGGGGCTCCGTGTGTGTGAAGCGTCCTGGAGCACGGACGGAAATTCCACATTGCAGGGGGACCAGGCGTCTTGCTGCTGACCTGGTCTAACAAAGCTAGGCAGCAAGACGGGATACCGGAATTGGCCATTCCGGCGTACCTGCCATCCTTTCGTGACCTAATGGGTTTCCTCGGTTTACCACTGTTTGCTTCATGTTCGGTTTCTTTTTTATTTTTTGTTTATTTTTTATTTTTTTTGTATTTTTTTTTTTTTTTTTTATTTTGTTTTTTTTTTTTTTTTTTTTTTGTGTATGATGTGACATTTGCACTGCGATTGTTGTTTTCATGCACTTTTCAGTACAATCGTTGTCTGCAAGAGCGCTCTCGAGATTAAGTGTGTGTGTGTTCGTCGTGTTTGTGTGCGGGTTCGCGCGCGCATGTGTGTGTGTGTGTGGTGGTGGGCGCTGCATGCGGATGTGCGTGGCGTGCGGCGGGGTGCGGGCGGGGGGGGGGGGGGGGGGGTGGGGTGAGGGGGGGGGGGTGTTGGCGCGGGAGGGTGGGGGGGGGGGGGGGTAGTGGGGGGGGAAGTGGGTGGAGGGGGGTGAGCGGGGTTTCGGGGGGGGAAGGGGGGGGAGGTTCAGGGGCGTGCGGGGGGGCGGGCGTGCCAGGCGAGAGTGCCATGCGGGCGTGCCAGGCGGGCGTGCCATGCGGGCGTGCCTTGTGTGTAGCTTGTGCTTGAGCTTATGCTGGTGCTTGCTTGTGCGTTTGCTTGTGTTCGTGCTTGCGCTTGTGTTTTTGTTTGTGTGTCTGTGTGGGTGTGTGGGCGTGTGTTTGTGGCTATGCTTGTGTGTGCGCGTGTGTTTGTGTTTCTGTGTCTGTGTGTGTGTTTGGGTGTGCGACTGGGTGGGTGTGGTGTGTGGGTGCAGGTGTGCCGCACAAGCCAGGCAAGTCATACGACACCTGCTCGTGCGTGCGGTCCAAGCCAAGTGACTATTGCGCATGAGACACTGTTTGGACCATTGATCGATGGGTGTGTGTGTGTGTGTGCACGTGTGTGTGTGTTTGTGTTTGTGAGAGGCTCCCCCTATATCAGCTCGGTTCAAAGGACAAAGAACAGGAAAGCCATGGCAGGCGTGTGGCTGTTTGCGGCAGTGCTGACCGAAGGCTCTGGTTTTGCAGGCCTTAAAAGGATTCACCCAGACCCCAGTGCCCATGTGCAAAACATGGCACCAAGTTCTCTGCAGTTCTTAAGGGCCCTTTCACAACCGAGAAACATGGGGCACTGGGTGTCTGGGCATAGCATCGAAGGACGAATGTGGGTGAGAATTACTTTGAGCTCAAAACCGCACATTAGGCTTATAGACGGATTTCTCCATCGCTCAGGTGAAATGCTGGGCCTTAAACTTGAGCACCGTGTAGTCTTTGCTCGGATCCTCCACTAGATCCTTCCACTTCTCATCCTGGGAACTCTTGGCTTCGGTCTTGAAGACTTGGACCAACTTCCTCACTTGCCCAAAGCTTGGTTGACGTTGGAAGGGGAGCAAACATTTAAGTTTTAGCAACTAAGTCGGGGTTTCCCACTAAACCACACTAAGCAAAAATGTAAAATGTTTCCCAACAACAACCATGAAAGGACCTGGACATAAGGTTAAGCTTTCGGGGTCATGACCAAAAGCGGAGCAACATGGGAAAACCACGAGGTCATGTCAGGTGGATTCGTTTTGTTCAGAAATAGACCAAGCAAATATTTCAGGTCGATTCATTTTGCTCAGAGCTGAGCTTCACGTTGCGGTCGTCTTTGGGGACCCCCTCCGGCACGTCTCCACCCATCTGCATCGTGGGAAACAAGACGCACTGCACGAGGTTCGGGTCACTCATGCAGGAGCTGGCCAGCTCGTTCCAAAAGCTTCTGTGCAGAGTCCTCACTGAAAGCCAAAATATTTCTTGGTTTCGTGTTTGTGGGGACTCAAGCAGGGTTTTCTAGGGCAATCATGTTTCTAAAAGCTCTTGATTTTGGCTCCCTTCAAAATGCCAGCTAGAAAGAAAAGCCAACGGGTTACTTGAGTCTGGCCATGATTCGGCATCCTTGGCGTTCCAAGTGCTGAGTGTCACATACATAGTGCCTGCCACTTTGGCCTCTGGCTTCTCTAGGTAATACATGGTACCACGGTAGGTGCCGTTCATATCGACCATGGGATTACCCGTGGCACAGGTTGCCATTAGCTCAGATATAAAGGCCTTGTTGCTCGCCCGAGTGGTGTGCTCTGTGTGGTATACCTCCTTGCTGTGAAACGCCGCCACCCAAAACGCCTTGTCCTTCTGATCCTCTGCAGCTTTCTCTGGGTGGCCCATGACAGTAAACCAAGGCGCACCCGCCTCCTCTTTCACCTGGATCTGTGCATCTGCCAGGATCAGCTTCCTTGGCTGGCATCAGGACCCCAGCAAAAACATATATATATATATACCTATATATATATATATCTATATATATATATATTTTGCCTGGTTTGTGGAAAACCAAAGGCGACCCCAACAAAAGCAACACAACATAAAAAGGGGAGCTAATTCTAGGGAAGAAACCACCAATCCAAAAAATAAAAAGGGGAACCACTTCTGGGGAAGCTTCATGGTGACCGCTGGGTCCTTACTGGCGAAGCGGCCGCACACTCCGTAGGCCTCGGTCCAAGTGGACTGCAGCGCGGTCAGGAGCTTCTGACGCTCGGCCTCGGGCAGGGCTTCGAAGGCTCCCCGCAACTCGGTGGGCGAAGCGGCGGACAGCGGGCCCTGCAAACTCGCGGCGCTGCCCATGGCTGCAAATTCGCTGAGGCGCTTTTTCACCCGGAAACAGCCACGAAACAGCTGCGGAGTTGCATCAAACCGGGAAAACGCGGCTTTGAAGGCTGCGCTCTTAGACCCGGAAACAGCAACGAAACAGCTGCACCAACCCGGAAACACACGAGTTGTTCGAAGGCTGGAAACCAGGTGACAATTCCTTCGTGCTGGTAAGTCTTGTGATGTTAAGCTGCGACGTGTCAAGCATTTGGGGTGTCTATTTTGTTGCACCCCCCAAAAAAAAAAGAAGAAGAAGAAGGAGAAGAAGAAGGTTTTCCTTGGTTTCCCAATAAAAACCGACCAGAAATGACTCAAGACAAGACATCCCCCCACTTAGCATGGCCCTCCGGACTCCCTCTCAACCCATGCAGCTGGTGCGCAACCCAGAAATCAGGGCCAGCTTTTGGGGCCACGAAAAATGGACCGGAAACACTAAAAGGTTTGATCCGGTTGATTCGGCCAGAGATTCCACGATCAAAAGCTGCTCTGCCCGAAAACTGGCCCTATGAGTTTTTACCACTATCAAAGTCACCTGTGACTGGTACATTGGTTGAAGGGCAGCCCCTCTTCCTGACTTTGCTAAACCCTGGTTTCTCGCAATCAAACTAATGACCCCAGCATCCTCCCCCAGAAAAAAATGGAACCCAAAGAGCCTTCATTTGCAGAGGAACTTCTCTTGCCTCTGGAAGCGCCCCCCTTTTTGGGTCCTTGGGCTCAAAAAGGCGCTGCAAACCTCACCCCCCCTCGGCTGTTGCGTGCCTGGCAGAGCGGCTTTGGAGAACTCGACCACTTCCTGCAGCCGTTCTCTCTTAGATGATTTGGATCGCAGGGATACGGGGAGGCCAGGGTTTTCTTCAGTGGGCTGGAACCCCTTGGCTTCCTAGCTTGCACCAGTCCAACATGTATATAAGGATGTTGCATCCCAGCAAAAAGGGAATTCACCAGTGAGGGTAACTAGGTCCAAAGGACATCTGAGTGGATGGCTCAAAAAACGCCAAACTTTATATTTACCGCTAAATAGTCCAAACCCAAAAAACGACTAAAGTTCATGAACTCAGGAAGTGAGTTACCCACTTCCCATTCCACTTTCATGGGGCTGGGGGGGAGGGAGGGGAGGGGGAGGGAGCCCAAATAAGCTCTAAATTGGGCTCCCCCTCCCCTCCCCCCAGCCCCCATTCCACCTCCCGTCCCCTCGCTTTTCTTCGCCCGTTTGGGGGCCCCACGTTGTCTGCCGCCCAGGCAGAGGCTGGCGTTGAGGGCGCCGTCGCCGACTTAGGCGATGGCCAATCGGCGAGGGGCGCCTGCGCTTCGACCAGCGGAGTTCGCTCGCAGACCGAGAATTCCTGTTGTCAGGGGTCCCCCAAAAAGGAGGACCCCTTGAAAAAGGTTCGCAAACCGTCAGCAAGGGGACCCCTCAACAATGGTCCCGAAAATGAACCGTCACAAGATTCGGGTCTAAGTCGAACTCACCTGCTCCCTTGGGGCTCTTTTTCACAAGGTGATCATCTTTTGGAACCACAACAAGTTCGAGACCAAAGCTAGGTCCTCCAGTAGAGAGGACCCGGAATAAGGGTAGGTACCAACTTTTTTTCTGTAGTCTATTTTAGTAGGGGAACCCTCCCCAAAAAAGGGGAAAAGGGCACTGCTGGAGGACCTAGCTATAGTTGTCAGACAAGGCACCCCTTCTCAGATGCCCAGTGGATTTCCATGGGAAAAAGAATTGGCATCCATGCTTTTTTGGTTGGTTGACTTTAAAGGGGAACCCCCCCCCCAAAAAAAAAAGAAAAGAAACAAAACGGCACCACTTGGCTGAGCCTTAAAAATGCAGGGGTCCCCCCAAAGACCCCTTTGGTTAAGGCCCCGGGAAAAATGAAAAATATGTCCAGTAGTGATGAATTCCTTACAAGGGAAAAATATGCTTAAGCAAATGGAGGCAAAAAGGGGACCCCTTTGGAAATGGTCCCCAAAATGAACCCTGTTAGACGGCCTGTTAGGCCCTAATAGCCCTCTTGGTCGCTAATAGCCCGTATTGGGATTGGGGGGCGGCACCTGTTTGGGGGGCCTGTGACAACCATAGGAACAATTCCCTGCTTCCGCAGTGTTGATGTATGTTTATTTACACATATACACATACATAACCCCCCGTCTTATAAGCATGCCCGCAAAGAGACACACACACATATATTTTTGTGCATGTAGAGGCATACAATGATCTTTTATGTACCCCGACATGTATGTAGGTAGGTAGGTAGGTAGGCAGGCATGTACATATGTACATAGGTAGGTAGATGCATATTTAAAATAATGTGTGCAGAGCCACAACAAACCTCCTGGAAACTAAATATGCACGCAAGTCTTGGCCGATCCTCGCAACTTGTCAGAGAGACTGGACCAGGCGGGCTAGATGTTCTTGCTGGTATGATTCATTGACTACCCCAAACAAAACAATGGCAACGGCCTTCAAAACCAGCAAAAGGGAGGCCCCTGAACAACATGTGAAGCAAGTAGAGAAGGAACTTTACACGTTTCCATTTTTCTGCCACTTCTGGATTCAGAATGGATAGGAATGAACCCCCCTGCTTCCTTTAAGGGGATCCCAAACTGTTCATTCCCAACACCCAGAGGCAGGGGCTTCGAGCTTCCCGTTCTGACCAACCAACAAGTCACCCGCCCTTTAAGTCAGGGCCTGGTAGCCGTTCCAAATTTCGGAGGCCCCTTGCAAGACAAACTGGAACAATTTCTCAAACAAATTGTCAATCAACTAGGGGCTGCCAGGCCCAGTTAAACCTCGCGCCCTGCTGACAGTCGAGCCTTTGAGCTTTTTCCATGCTTACACAATCACGCGCCACCATGCCTCGAGTCGTCATAGTCATTCAGTAGCACAACCCATTGCGTTGATCGTTTGGTTTCGCCTTGCAAGCCATGGGCAGAAGCTGTTGAAAGAGATTCCATGCTTGTGCTGGCCCATCCTCGGCATCTTGACTGGGCTCTCCAGCAGAGAGGTTTGAATAAGGGTACCCGATTTTTTTCTCTAGTCTATTTTAGTAGGGTCCCGAACCCTCCCAACCAAAAAAAGGTGAAAGGGCACTACTGGGGGACCTAGCCTCCTTTTTCCTAGGGGAAGCTTCCACTTTCACTTCCATTCTCTCCAGGGATCCTTTTTTTTCAAACGGGCATCTAGCTGGACCTAGTTGATCCTCCCGCCTACCCAAAACTAGACCACGGTTGGCCCGAAAGCAGAACATCGCAAGCGAAGTCGGCCCAACGCTGCAGGATGCGTTCTTTTTCCCTACACGAAGCATTCGTGAAGCAAGCGCGAGACAGCACCAGGCAAGGTGCTCTGCGCAAACTGGTCGGTGCAAGTTGGTCTGCGCAAGTTGCTCTACGCAAGTTGCACTGTGCAAGTTGCTCTGCGCAAGTTGCTCCGCGCAATTTGCTCCGGCAAGTTGGTCCCTGCAAGTGGCTCCCTGCAAGTTGCTCTGTGCAAATTGCGCTCCCTGCAAGTTGCTCTGCGCAAGCTGCTCTGTGCAAGTTGCTCTGTGCAAGTTGGTCCTAGGCAAAGGCGCACTGCCGCAAACTGGTCGTGCAAATTGGTCTGCCAAGTTGCGCAAGTTTTTGCTCTGCGCAAGTTTGCTTTAAAATGCAAGGTTGCATCTTGCACGCCCGCCACACCGCGGACCAGGGTAATCGAACCCGCTACCGCCCGGATCTTCCGGGAGCAGGGCGCGCGAACCACGAGACAACTCACCGAGGACCAGTTTCGAACAACCTCGACACGCCGATTCCCCAGAGGGTTGCGCGAGCACCGGCAAGAAATCGCAAAAAACCTCGAGTTTTTCCACCTCGACCACGCCGATCCCCGCAGCTCCGTCAGGAAAAAACGATCGCGGGCAGCAACACATAACGAACCCGACAGAATAGTAGCCAAGGGTTGCGCGAGCACCGCAGAAATCGCAAAAAAAACCATGGGATTTTGCACCTCGACCACGCCGATCCCCGCAGAGGGTTGCGCGAGCACCGCAGAAATCGCAAAAAACCTCGAGTTTTTGCACCTCGACCACGCCGATCCCCGCAGAGGGTTGCGCGGGAACCGCAGAAATCGCAAAAAAACCATGGGTTTTTGCACCTCGACCACGCCGATCCCCGCAGAGGGTTGCGCGAGCACCGCAGAAATCGCAAAAAAAAACCATGGGTTTTTGGCAAAGCGGGTCGGGGGGGGGGGACCGGGGATGCGCCGATCCCCGCAGAGGGTTGCGCGAGCACCGCAGAAATCGCAAAAAACCTCGAGTTTTTGCACCTCGACCACGCCGATCCCCGCAGAGGGTTGCGCGGGAACCGCAGAAATCGCAAAAAAACCATGGGTTTTTGCACCTCGACCACGCCGATCCCCGCAGAGGGTTGCGCGAGCACCGCAGAAATCGCAAAAAAAAACCATGGGTTTTTGCACCTCGACCACGCCGATCCCCGCAGAGGGTCGCGCGAGCAGGTTAGAAATCGCAAAAAACCATGGGTTTTTGCACCTCGACCACGCCGATTCCCGCAGAGGGTTGCGCGAGCACCGCAGAAACCGCAAAAAACCATGGGTTTTTGCACCTCGACCACGCCGATCCCCGCAGAGGGTCGCGCGAGCAGGTTAGAAATCGCAAAAAACCATGGATTTTTGCACCTCGACCACGCCGATCCCCGCAGAGGGTTGCGCGAGCACCGCAGAAATCGCAAAAAACCTCGGTTTTTGCACCTCGACCACGCCGATCCCCGCAGAGGGTCGCGCGGGAACTTTAGAAATCGCAAAAAACCATGGGTTTTTGCACCTCGACCACGCCGATCCCCGCAGAGGGTCGCGCGGGAACTTTAGAAATCGCAAAAAACCATGGGTTTTTGCACCTCGACCACGCCGATCCCCGCAGAGGGTCGATTTTCGTGTAGTGTCGTCGGCACTACCCCGCCGCCCTAAGAAGAGATTTTAACTCCTCGCAAGTCAATTGCACTTGACTCCTTGCACTTGCAACTTGCACTTGACTCCTTGCTTGTTTCAAGGAGTCATTGGAGTCATTGCAAGGAGTCATTGCAAGGAGTCATTGCAAGGAGTCATGGCAAGGAGTCATTGCAAGGAGTCATTGCAAGGAGTCATTGCAAGGAGTCATTGCAAGGAGTCATTGCAAGGAGTCATGAGAGCCATTGCAAGTTGCAAGGAGCCCAGTGCATGGAGTCAAGTGCAAGTCGCAAGTGCACGGAGTTAAGTGCAAGTGCGCAAAGTGCAAGAGCCAAGTGCAAGGAGCCAAGTGCAAGGAGCCAAGTGCATGGAGTAAGTGCAGTTGCAAGTGCATGGAGTCAAGTGCAAGTTGCAAGTGCAAGGAGTCAAGTGCAAGTTGCAAGTGCAAGTGCAAGTTGCAAGTGCAATGACTCCTTGCAATGACTCCTTGCAATGACTCCTTGCCATGACTCCTTGCAATGACTCCTTGCAATGCAATGACTCCTTGCAATGACTCCTTGCAATGACTCCTTGCAATGACTCCTTGCAATGACTCCTTGCAATGACTCCTTGCAATGACTCCTTGCAATGACTCCTTGCAATGACTCCTTGCAATGACTCCTTGCAATGACTCCTTGCAATGACTCCTTGCGACTCCTTGCAATGACTCCTTGCAATGACTCCTTGCAATGACTCCTTGCAATGACTCCTTGCAATGACACCTTGTAATGACTCTCATGAGAACAACTCAAGTGAACCCAGCGGAAGAACCCTTCGCCATGCTTTCGGGAAAAACCCGCACGCCTCTTCCAGGAAGGTGGTGGGAGCCGGAGAGGCGGGTATCTGCCTCCGAACTGTTGCAGGTCTTTTCTTGACCAACCCTACGGCAACAAATTTTCACCTGGAGTCTCCTTTCTGACCTTGAAAAAAATGGAGGTCATTACCAACAAATTTGGTGGTCACCCCATTGATATTTTGGGTCATGGAGACTGCAGGCACTGTTTTTTTCGGTAACAAACAACTCACTGTTTCTTTTCCTGCCGCCCCCCATGCAAAAAATGAGATGAACAAAGGACAACCATTGGCTATGGTGGCAAAAGCAGTGACTGACCTATTTTCAGCCCCCCTCGTCAAACATGAACAGGACCAACAAAAACAAAACTAAGCATGCCAACAGTGAAGTTTTGTTGAGGCTATCCATTCCACTGACACCTCACAAACAGGTTTCTGGCAAAAAGACACATCCTGGATCCTGGCAGTTGGCTTGTGTTGCTCGCGAGAGTTGGCCACAGGGGAACTAGCAGGAGAGGACCGGCTGTTTTTCAACATGGTTTTCCAACATGGTAGAACTCTTGTGGGCTTTAAAGACAAGAGGAGACACCCAACAGGTCTAAAGGCCCAGAGGTCTCATCTGGATGGCAATGGCAAACGGCCAGCTGGCTCTTGGATGCTCAAGGGCAGCCAAAACGGCCACCCATTTTGACGGACTTCCTAAACTTGCGGGCGGTTGGCCCCGGGGAGTCCAACGACTTGGGGCCCCTGGGGCCGAGGGAGCCGCCCGTTTTTCAGCCGCCCAGGAGCCCAGCTCAGGGGACTGCAAGAGGGGGGGGGGGTTTTGACCGCCGAGCGCCCTGGGTTTCTTTGGGGGCTCTTGTCTCAGTTGTTTTTCTGAGGGACCCCGAAAAAAAGAAATAAATGGTCAACCTGTTGGGCCCTGTACAAAAAAAACATGGACCAAAGATGGGAAACCAAAAGGTCAAAAGGTCGATTCGCTTTGGACCAAGTGAGTTGTGGATTTTGAACCCCATTCGGACTGTTTGTTTGTGAACCCCACTTCAGGCGTCCCTTAGTTGGCGATGTGGATGGGTGGTTTGGGGACTGGAACCCCTTGCTCTTGCATAGGGCAAATGGGAAACCCCTTCTTAACCACCAACTCACAAATTCAAACCACCAGTTGCAGGGAAGCTGACCTCGAGTGAGTTGGCCAAAAATTGTGTGCTACCCTCTCTAACGTGGGAAGCCATGTCTTCAAGAAACACATGTCCACATGTTGGCTTTAAATTAAAGGGATCTATCAGATCTGTCACTTGACATATTTCTCGAATCCTGCTTTGCTCAAACAAAAAAAAAGGAAATGGAAGACCCCGGTATTTAAATTCACTTGAGAGGCCCGCGCCACTTTCTTCAAGCAAAGCCCAGCAGGGGTCATCTGGGTCTGGTACCATTGTTGAGGCTGGGTTACAGGGAAACCAACTGGAAACCCGGTGCCATCTTTTTTTTTGGAGGGGGGGAACACAAATTCAGCCAACAAAAAAGCTTGAAAGACGAACCTATGGTTGCAGCTCGTGGAATTGCATTCAGTGTGACTACGTCGAGTCACTTTCCTGGGACAGCTCTTGTGACAGAAGGCGAACCAACGCCTCATGTCCAACACAACTGAGACCCCCGAATTCCGGCAGTTTCGTTTGTTTTTCTCTTTAAACGCCAACCAAACGGAGGCTAGCCCAGAAACACACATGAATTTGGGCATTTTGTGCGGCAGCATGATTCCTCTTGGAGGCTTGAGACACAATCAAATCCTTGTATCCGAAAGGTCCACCCAACACGGAAGCAGTTCATACCATGCCTACACAGCTCAATTCCCGAGTGGTCGGCCACTAAAGTGGTCTTCCCAAAAAGTAGAAAGTCCAGAAACTTAAGGAAGAGATGCAAAAAATTGCAAACCCCATGGTATAAGGTTGGGACCCTAGGCGAACCTCTGCCGTTTGATTTTGCGGCGACCGACCGTTTCGGCCTCGGTGACACTGGGACGCCAGGGGCTTGATGGGAAATACAGCCACGATGTAAGATTGGATGCCCAAAAAGCAACGTTCTCGACTTGTTGTGCAGGGCAATACAACAACACAAAGACAACCTCCAACAACCAAAGTGGGAAGATCCAACAGCCATCAAGCCGGCTCAGTCCCCTATAGGTTTGGGATTGGAAGCCGCCTTTGTAAACCCCAAGGAACCGCGTCCCCAAACGGAATCGCCTGGGCTCCTTCCGGAGGTTGGCCAGCTCAACGTCCAAGCGTTTCAGGAGCGCAGCTTGGGCCGCAGCCTGCTCGATTTTTCCCTCAGCAGCTAAAAGTTATATTGTGGTCGAGGCTTGCTTTGTTTGGGGGGGGTCTTTACCTAGCTAGGCTTCGTTTCTTTGGAGGGGAGCAGATCGGCGCGTCAGCCAGCAAGTCGGCGCTCTTAAGCCCACTTCCGATCCAGTGAATTGGCTAAACAATTTCCAAACGGGCATTTACCACCAAAATGATCCAAGTCCAAAGAGTGACTTGGGTCTGAAGCGAAACTCGGTCAGCGGTGGGTGAGCTCTGCCGCTCCATACATCGTGGATTCCAACTGCGACTTTGGGATTGGAGGTGCCTTGATCCTTTCCGTCAAGTGCCAAATCGCCAAGTAGCCAAGCAGCCAATCGAATCATTAACCGAGCAGCGAAACCAAATAAGCAACGCCGAAGACAGGCCAACTCACCGACCAAATGGCAACCATTCAGCGAACCCCTCAACTAGCCGACCAAACAAACTATAAACCCAGTAAACAAATTTCAAGTAACCAAATCACCAAACCAAGCACCACAAACCACGAACCACCACCCACCCACTCACCCGTCAACCCACCCGCCCGCCCAGTCAGTCAAGCAGTCAGTCAGTCACTCAATCAGTCAGTCAATGAATCAACCAAACAATCAATCAATGAAGGAATGAAGGAATGAAGGCAGGAAGGCATGAAGGAATGAAGGAATGAAGGAATGAAGGCATGAAGCCATGAAGGCATGAAGGAATGAAGGAATGAAGGAATGAAGGAATGAAGGAATGAAGGAATGAAGGAATGAAGGCATGAAGGCATGAAGGCATGAAGCCATGAAGGAATGAAGGAATGAAGGCATGAAGGAATGAAGGCATGAAGACATGAAGGCATGAAGGCATGAAGGCATGAAGGCATGAGGCATGAAGGCACGAAGGCACGAAGGCATGAAGGAAGGAAGGAAGGAAGGAAGAAAGGAAGGAAGGAATGAAGGAATGAAGGCAGGAAGGCATGAAGGAATGAAGGAATGAAGGAATGAAGGAATGAAGGAACGAAGGAACGAAGGAATGAAGGAATGAAGGAATGAAGGAATGAAGGAATGAAGGAATGAAGGAATGAAGGAAGGAAGGAAGGAAGGAAGGAAGGAAGGAATGAATGAATGAATGAATGAACCAATCCATCAAATCAATCAAACAACCAATCAAACAACCAACCAACCAACCAACCAACCAACCAACCAACCAACCAACCAATCAATCAATCAATCAATCAATCAATCAATCAATCAATGAAACAAATCCAATCACTTTCTTTCTCTCTCACACGCACGCACACACTCACTCACGCATTCACGCATTCACGCGCTCACGCACTCCTGCACTCCCGCACTCGCTCACCCGCTCTCTCGCTCTCTCGCGCTCCCTCGCTCCCTCCCTCGCTCCATCACGCACGCACGCACGCACTCACGCACGCACTCACGCACTCACCTCACTACCTCACTACCTCACTACCTCACTACCTCACTACCTCACTACCTCACTACCTCACTCACTCACTCACTCACTCACTCACTCACTCACTCACTCACTCGCTCGCTCGCTCACTCACTCGCTCGCTCGCTCACTCACTCACTCACTCACTCACTCACTCACTCACTCACTCACTCAACCACATCAATCAATCGGTCAGTCTGTCAATGAATCAACCAGTAAATCAACCAACCAACCAAACCATCAAGCAATCAATCAAGTAAATACAACCATGCAGCACCACAACACCAACATCTTGCGCAACCAACCCAAGCAAAGCCAACCATCAATTGGGCGAATAGTAAGTAACATTTGGCTTGCAGTTCTTGTCAAATCAATACCCGGTTTCGTGATTGCAAAGCCGTGGCCTGTCAGGACTGCTCGTGACAACGTGCAAATAAGGGATGAGGCAAGACCGCAAAAAGCGCTTGCCAAATAAATACTTTGTTGAACAGCTTTGTTTGCAAACACGTGTTTTTTTCCGATGCAATCGAGCTTAAACAAAGACAACCAGTAAACAACATGGCATGACGACACCCCAAACTTCCCCACGCGTCCCTCGCGTCCCACGCGCGCGAACGGCCTGGCTCTGGATGCTCTGCACGAAGACCTGGCGAAAGGCCGCCAGGCCATCGAGGCCCTTGTCGGCGGGCGGGCTTTTCCTCGGGCAAGCGGGAGCAAGAAAAACGGCACGGGCCGCCGGTAGAGCGCTGGAAAGGCAAAGATCCATTCCATGAGATTCCAATCCCAATCCATTATTCCAATTCCAGTAATTCGTGTAATTCTATTCGATTCATTAGGGAGGGTCTTGCTTGGACATTGAAGTCCTTTAAAGGGCTGGTTTGGGTTTCCATTGCCCGCTGCTCCCTGCCTACCTGGGGATCACATCCCAGAAATGGTCTTCAACAATTGGTCTGTGAGGGATGGCCGTCTGCAGGATCCAGGGCTTCACATCCAATTCCAAACCACCAAGCGGATGCACGAAATCGGAACCTGTTTACTGGAACCTGTAGAGTGCCTGACCAAAAACAATATTAACTTCCATTTGCTCCTTCGCCCCCCTGAAAAATTGAGAACATATTTCCAGTAGTGATGGATTTCCTGCAAAACCAAGAAGGTAAAAACAAAGCATTCCTTTCAGAACATGGAAGTTAAGCAAGTGGAAGCTGAGTCCATAAACTCGAGTGAGTGGAACTGCGGCCCGCTTTGATCGAAAGTTTCTCCCGTGTCCACAGGCCTGTCAGGGTCCATGAATTGTCTGTGCGCAAATAAATCATCAAGCGGTCAAACACAGGTTGGGGATATCATCTGGGCCTTCTTTCCGGCACAGGTGAAACGGGCACGGCATGTCTGAATCTCATTCCAGGAGCTATTCATATGCGGGGAAGAATCCGGGGTTGATTCTCCGACATCCCCCGCAAAACAATAATAATCAAAAAACGCGGCCACCATCCCTTCCCCAACTCGCTGCTAAGCTCACTTCCGCTAATGTCTCAGAACAAGTCCAGAGTTCTTCACCACACTTCCGCTCCAAAGGCTTGAGCTCCAAACTTGAGAAGCGAAATGGGAAGGTGTTTTCAAAACAGGCAGCCATTTGCCAAGATGAAAGTGAGGGTGATGATGGAAGTAAGCTGTCCGAACTCACCCGCCAAAGCGTCGGACGGAACATCGGGCGCTTTGGCATTCGGCCCGGAGCCCGGGCCGCACCAAATTCGACGAGAGGAAAGGGAGCGTTGAGCACTTGCTACGTTTGACTTCTGTTTGGCATCTGTGGTTTTGGTGGAGCTCAGGCCGACTCAAAAACCTGCGGCCCAGAAAAAGGAACTCAGCGAGATGTGCCAAGATCTTGCTTGCCGATTCGTGGAGCTGAGCCAGGATGCGGGCTGCGGGGCTGAACGTGGATCGCCCAACGCCCTGGTCTCACTACCAAAAGGAGCTTTGACATCAACATGGAAATCAGCTTTTGAAACCTTGACTGCAATTGAAGCCATCATGGAAAACCTGCGTTTTTTTTGACAGCACAACCATCCCTATGAATCTGCACATCGTTTTTGGGCGATTTCGACCATGATGCGAGATGGATTTGGGCAAGCTACAATGTTTCGTGACTGCCCTCATGCCCCCCAAATGACCATGGACTGCGGAATGTTGCCTGAACCTCAAATGTAAACCCCCTCTCGGCTTGCAAAATAACTGTGCAGTGATGGGAGGATTGGTTCTGGCTGCCCCTTCCTTGCAGGCGATGGGCAAGGCCAAAGGTAGAAAGACAAGGCCCTCATGTCGAGGTCGCAAACATGGGATTGCCTTTTGCACAAGCAAAAGGGTCGGACAACCAGTGAGGCATACGATGACTGGCAACATCAACACACCAACACTCCAACGTTAAAACACGCGTATACCAACACACCAGGCCACTCCAAAACACTCAAACACGCACAAACATGCACAAATAGGTTCGATATGTTCACACTATTCACTCTAAATGAGGCTTTGGCAGTGTGGCCACGTGGGGTACATGTTTTGAAGCCCACTGGTAACTCTGGCCCCAGCAGCTCAGCAATCTGCATTGTGGCATCACGGCCTGGCAACAGCTCGAGCGCAAAGGCGGTTCATCCAACTGGCAGAATATCAGTTGTGGGCTCACTTGCCGTGGGATTCACATTTTCCGAGAAAACAAACACTGCATTTTCCGTTTAAGCAGAACTGGTGTGGATGAGAGTGTATGCGGGATAAAATAATCCTACCCGAATTGGCATGATTACTCGGCTGGGCCTGCAGAAAAATGGGAGAACCCACCATGGATGCCCGACCGGGTTGCCATGTTTCCTGTACAAACTCTTGGCGCTCCTTAAGGCGCTTTCGGGCCAAACGCAAAGGAGGCAAACCCGAACGATCTCACAGTCACGCTTTCTGGTCCGAGAAAACGTTCAAGCTGCTTGCCTTTGCCACTTACATGGTCCAACCCCACAAAGTGACTGAAGTGCAGGAACTCAGGGCACTCAAAAAATGGCACCCCCAAAAAAAGACAAGTATAAGTACGATGGACAGACTGCACGCTCTCAACAAGTGCAACATCCCGCAAATTCTCACATGCCATGCCCTGTGTATGCAGGCCCAGCCATTTTCAACAATTCGTCCTGGGCTGATGAAAGGTCAGATGCTATTGCCGCGTGCCTAGTTAAAAATACCGCAACACTTTGCCAGCTCCCACCGGGTTTTCCTGCGACTTTTCTTAGCAGGCCAGTCGCGTGGTTTCCAGTCGTGCCGGTTGTCCCGCAAAGGCCAGCGTTCCGCACCGAATGAAACCGCACCCCAACATGGAAGTGAGAGGGAGCCTCTGCACTTCCACATGTGGGAGAACCTCCACAACCGTGGCATAGCTTCTGGGTGCCAAAAAAAAGGGCTTGGGAAAACATGTTCCCCTTGTCTGTTGGTTTCTTCGCGATAAATCTGGGCTTCTCCCCCTTGAGCTGTTTGGCACCCAACCCCTTGGTTTGGAGAGCTGAACCCCACCAAGCTATGGGGTTGAACACCCCGAAGACCCTCTCCAAGCCGCCGGGCGCCGAAAATCTGTGCGCTTCGCCCGCTGCAGGTGTCCTTTTTCTTGGCTGCTGCAACGACTCCCCGGCAAAAAGTGGACAACTGTTTGGGGGTTGAGTGGAAAACACCTGTAGTACCCAAAAAGTTAAAGTCTAAAGATCCAACCCAACAGCCGTCAAGTTTTGGGCTTGGTGGAAAATCGACGGGTTTTTTTCCTGGCTGACCTGGCTTCATTTGTCTACCAGGGACACCCAGGTCCGCCAAACCCTTCCGTCTCGCTGGGCCAACTTGGGGCGGTGGCTCGCTTCGGCTGCGACACCTCTCTCGCAGGCGCTGATGGTCGCCTCAGTTTTCGACCCCGAACCCAGCACCATCGCAGTCGGAACTTGTAAATCTACCCCGCAAAAAATGCTGTTGGTTTTGCAGGGAAAATGAAGGACGTTCAAAAGAGCAGGCTAGTCAAGTATGGCAACGACAAAATGCGACTCGCCGTTTTACCTTATTACCTCTTGCAGATTTGAAGGGAAATATAGTTTTGATTCTGGCTCACTTTGGTGAACCTTAGAAGGCGACAACTTGGTGAAAGCAAATAGTCAGCAATAGGCCAATGCTGGCAAACGCAAGGTCCACAATCCCCACAACGGGCAGAACAGGGGAGCAGCACAACTTGATGCAAGGCTTTCACGGATTAGGGACTCTTCTTTTCCCCCGCTTTTGTTGACTCTCCAACTGTCTACTTGTTTACAACGAAACAGGCAGGAGGGGACCTGGTCACAGGTGGGCAGTTTTTCTGACGGGTACCCTTGTTTTGGGGGTCGGAGGGGAAGAAGAAAACCACCAATCTGTAGGGTCGCCCAATTTCGAGTCTTGGCTGTCCAAACTGATCCCCTGCTAAAAGTCTAACTAGTGGGTTAAATCGAAACCCCACAGAACTCTACATACCTAGTAGGACCTAGTTCGTTTTCTGATCCCTTGCTAAAAGCGACAAAAAACACTAAAGTCCTGTGGTTTAATTTTGACCCATGCCCAAGTCTCACCATTCGCAAACCTAGCTGCGTTGAAGGCGACCTCCTGGCGATCCACGCCTTTGGCCCAAAACAGCTGCAGTGCCCATCTCCATCGCCCGGCCTTCTCCTTGGCTCGGAAGCTCCAAACCGAAGAAAACGGAAACAAAAAGAAGGAACAAAAACAAAAAGGGGGGGGGGGGAAAACGACCCTTTACTTGGGGCCAAAAAGGCGCTTCATTTCTATTTTTTTTTTGGGGGGGGGGGGTGGGCTGAGAGGAAGAGGACCGCGGCAAATGGCTGTGGGGGTGGGGGGGGGAGATCACCTCCATGTAAGGATCAGTTCCCTGGGACAAAAATGACACATGTAGTGGTGGTACGATCCCCCTTAAAAAAAGAGAGGAAACAACAAAAAACAAAACAAACAACGACCGGCATAGGCTCCCCCCTATCGTTCCGATCAAAAGGCTTCTGACCATGGCGAGAAAAGGCGGAATGACTAGGCCTGTACGTTTGGGGTTTCCATTCAACTATTCTTCTTTACAGCAATGAGCAGCGATGCAAACCTCTTCACTCTCGGTTCTACAAAGGCTTGTTTCCAAAAGGCCTTAAACAAAACATTGTGAAGCCAGGTGGCCCCAACAAGGGCCTTCTTTCTTGGCTGGAACTAAGACCCCAGCAAATATATATATATATGTATATATATATATTTTTTGCCTGGTTAGTGGAAAACAAAGGGGACCCCCAAAAAAAGCAAAACAACTAAAAAGGGGAACTAGTTCTAGGGAAGCTTTGGGTGTGCGCCAGCTACACCAATGGCACCCGGCGTCGCAAGAGCTGATGGTGGAGCTGAGGCTAATTTCGCTGGCTTCGACGCTGGCGCCTCGCATGGCGCCAAAGACGACCAAGGCCTGCTGCCACTCCGTTCGATGAGTGCCTGACTTGGGAGTGGGTCAAACAAGGTACTCAAAATGGGCTACCCTGGCAAATGGAAACATGGAGTAATTCAAATCTGCGGTGCCCTGGCGCTTCAATTTTGACCCACACCCTGAAGCCAGTTGCCGCTTCGGGACCCAGAAGTAAAAGATGGGGACTGTTTGGAGCCATGACAAAAATGTGAACCCACAAAGGGGAAGCGAGTGAAAGGACCTGGAAATATGTCAGGTCATCGCTTGTCAGGTGGATGTGGAAAGCCGGTCAGGAAGGGAAAATCTGGGCGTGTCTTGTTTGAAGGGGACGCCCCCCCCCCCCCAAAAAAAAAAAAGTGGTTTTCCTCAGGTTTCTATTTGAAAGTACGCTAGCCAGGGTACTTTCAAAACAAGACACCTCCCATGTGGTATGAAAAGGTTAGGGGCTAAGCAAAGGTGCTGATGGTTGCGTTGAAGCCGACTTGAGTGACTCGCACTTGTGCGAAAGGCATCGCCACAAACAGAGACAAGGCCTGCTGCCACCGGCCAAGTGTCTTGCAAGAACTGATGCTTGCATTGAAGCTTCTGTCATCGGATGCCCACCCCGCGTTGGGCATCCAAAACGAGGCCAAGGCCTGCTGCCACTGCCCGGCTTTCTCACAGGCACTGACCTGCGCGTTAAAGGAAATGGAATCTGCCTCAACCGTTGCCCCGTGCACGGCAGAAAACACTGCCGATGCCTGCCGCCATTGACCACATTTCTCGCAGGCACTGGTGGCTGCATTGAAGCAAATGACATTTCGCCGCACTTGCTCTTCAGGTACGGCATGGACAAGAGTCAGGGCCTTCTGCCATTGCTGACCTTTCTCGCAGGCGCTAATGCTTGCACTGAAGCCGATGTGATCCAGTTGCACCTGTGCTTTGCTCTGAGCCTGGAATAGTCCCAATGCCCACAGCCACTGCCACCCTTTCTCACAAGCGCTGATCGTTGAACTGTAGCTGACAGGGTCCGCTTGAATCTGAGCTCCAGGAGTGGATGCAAAAAGGGTCAATGCCTGCTGCCATTGCCCAGCTTTCTCACATGTGCTGATGGTGGCACTGCAGCTGACATGGTCTGCCAGCCACAGTTCGAGCATCACCTGAAACATCGCCAAGGCAACCTGCCACTTGCCGTCTTTCTGGCAGGCGCTCAGGGTTGCAAGAAAGCTAGTGCCTTGGTCTGCAAAAAGTGATAACTGTTCTTGGTTCAATGGCAAACCCATTGATTTCAACCAACAAATCAAGGTCGAACAATAGCAATCAAGGTTTTGGGTTGGTTAATTCCATTTGTGGGGAATCCACCAAGGAACAAGACCTCCCTCCCCACCAAAACCCAATAGCAGCCAAGATGCTATCTGCTCGTATTTTTACTTTAGGCATCGCCCAAAAAAGGGCCACCGCAGCCTGCCACTGATACTCACATGCGCCAATGGCCGCAGTGAAGCAAAACACATTGGCCTTGATTGCTGCAACGACCCCCCTGCAAAAAGTGAATAACTTTTTTGGGTTTAGTGGAAAACCCAACTTGATTTCAACCAAAAGGTTAAAGTCTAAAGATCCAACCCAATAGCAGTTAAGCGGCCACTTGTGTATCGAGCAAGCCCACGGCCTGCTGCCACTGAATCCCTCTTTTGCAAGCCATGATGGCCCCGTTGAGGCTGATTGCACTGACACGCACCCGCGAAAAGGAAGACATTGCAAAAAGCGCTTGCTGCCATTGGTCGCCAGACTCCCAAGCGCTGATGGTCGCGCCCATGGTGACTTCGCTGGCCTTGAGCTGTGGCATGGCGCGGCTCAAGGCCAATGCCTGGTGCCATGCCTCCTGCGCGCAAGAGCTGATGGTACTGTTGAAACTAATGATATCCGCAGGAAATTTGTGGAAGCACACCAACGCCTGCTGCCACTGCACAGTGCAAGACGCTGAACTACAGCTGCGAATATCTGGCCGTAGTCCTGCGCCAGGCATCATGGCGAAGAAGGCCAACGCTTGCTTCCACTGCAGGGCTTTTGCGCAAGTCCCGGTGATCGCGTTGACGCTGATGACGTTTGCTTGCACTTGTGCTACAGGCATCCCCCGAAATAAAGCCATGACAGAATGCCACTGTTTCCCTAATGCGCCGAAGCTCGCAGTAAAACTGATCACGTTAGATTGCACACTTGCTTCCGGCATGGCATCGAGTAGAACAACCGCCTCTCTCCAAGCACGTAGCTTGGAAAGCTTGGACATGGCCACAGTAGCATGTTTTGCATCCACCTGAGCAGCCCGCATCTTAGTCTTAGGCTTCCCTGAGCGGCTCAAATGTACAGCGCAGGCGCCCGACTGTGCGAGGGTGACTAAGGCGTTTCCAGCGGGACAGCCCTTGCAAATGGGCTGGAACCCAGGCGTGCTGCGAATCCTTTCGGAGCCCGAAGCATGCGGTTGATCCCACGTCTTGCAACAAACCATTTGGGTCTTGCAAACGCCCGTTTGGACCTCGCCAAGGATCAAAACCACCAAGAACATGTGAAATCACTGTGCTCCACCGGCAGCGTTTGCGTGATTTGTACAATCAGCGACCTGTCCAAAATGGCAGGGTTGTGCAGTGACTTCCACCAAAGCACCATCCAAAAGGCGTCCCAGTTCATATGAACCATACTATAGTTAACTCACAAACTGGGAAAAACAAGGAACCTTCATCCTCTGTGAACTCGTTTCACTCCATGGTGAGCCCGTGATGCTTGTTCAGTATTCCTTGGACATAGGATAGCCATGGACTAATAATGGATTTTTTAACTGAAATACATGCCTGATCGCGCTCAACTGGCTTTAGGGTTCAAACGTTCAAGTTTGTTTAGGGTTACACATGTTCACAACTTTAGGGTTTAGGATTTAGGACCCACTGACAACAGAACCCAAACAAAGTCAACATAACACTTGCCAAAGTGAAGTTAAGGCAATGGCCCGGCTGTTGAACGAACCTGCGAAAACGGCTGCTAAGCCAGTGATTGTTCTTAGGGCCACTTTCAAGGAAGGTTTCGAACGCAACCTTTCGCAGGGGAATGGGAGTTGATGCCCCGCCCAAACTTAGCCGGCCATGCGAAAGGCTTACATGAGTTGTTGATTCAGATCCATCGAACAACTGGCGCCAGTTGCTGGGCTTCCCGCGAGGCCCATAACAAGGAACATGGCCGGACCCTTTTTGTGACCTCCTCACGTCCGATCCAGTGGGATGCTCAACCAGTCCGGTCCATTTAAGGGGACGGGGGGTCCCCAATTCCATTTATCGAGTCTTCCCTATAAAAGGGAAAATGGAACCACAAATGGAATTCCAGAGATCACCGCCCCCTCCCCCAATTCCATTTTTGAGGCGGTAGGGATTTCGGGTTCCTTTCTGGGACAGTGACGAAATGCTTTTCTTGAGTGCACGAAGCGAAGCCTTCTTCCTGCGCTGAACTCGGATCAATCAACCTTGTGGTTTTCCCCCTTTTGGGTTGTCATTTTTAGTCCTATCCCCCCAAGGGGCAACTGAGCTTCAAAAGCGATATTGAAAGTGTCACATCGACGAACCCAACCAATACCCGTGGCCCTTCTTTTGGCGCGTAGGGAGAAGGCTTCATGCAACGAGGGGGGCCATGACCAAAAATAGGGAACCCCAAAAGGCAAAAGGTCGATTGATGGTTGCCTTGGTGAGCTTTTGAGCTTCTGCGAACCGGAAATCCCAGAACATAGTACCAGTGGCAGGTCTGGAAGATCATTCTCCACTTGTAAGGGCCCAGGTACCATGTTGGGACCGAGCTGTCCCCATTTTTGGGGGTTGCAACTGGGAGGTTTCGGCTTGGAGCCCGCCACAAAGAGCTCATCACCTCGCCTCAGGTTTCTCTCTTCTCCGGCGCGCAGAGTGACGCACAGGAAAGCCCTGGGCCTCGCGAGTCCGGATATCACATTGTTACCCTGCAACATCACCTAAGGACTACGCAAAGGTCATCTCCCGAGAAATGAGAAGAAGGAGATTGATCATGGTTTAAAGGAGGAATCGTCACCTCTTTTTCGATTGCTACCCATCTCCAAAGCTCAGTTTTTGCTCATGGGCGCGACTGCGGCATGGCCGATCAAGCCATCAAGCGCCCGTCTGGCTCCAGCCGCGATTTCCTGCGTTTCGCCAAAATCGGAGACATCGCTTTGCGCAGAGCCGCTTCAAAGATTGCAAGGCCCAAGGCTTCTGCTCGCTTAGCAAAGCGAGCAGGCAGCTATAGCAAACTTGGGTGGGTTCAAGCTGCAACTCTGGCATGGAGCAGAACATGGCAAGCGCTTGCTGCCATTGGCCTCCGATTTGGCAGGCGCCGAGTGCTGCGCTGAAGCTGATTTCCCCGACCCTCAGGTTGGCTTCGGCCAGCATGGAGAACAAGGCCAAGGCGTGCTGCCAGCGCCCCGATTTCTCGCAAGCGCTGATGATCGCATTGAAGGTGATGTCACTGGCCTCCACGTTTGCTGATGCCATGGCCCGAAAAAGTCCCAAGGCCTGATGCCACTGCGAACCCTTCTCGCAGGCGCTGATGCTGCTGTTGAAGCTAATCCTCAGTTGTTCAGTGGCCCTGGAAAAAAAGGGGAACCCTTTTTTGGGAAGACCATTTTAGTGGGGCAGCCACCAGAAAAAAAAGGGGAAAAATAGTTGGTGCCATTGAACAACTGAGAATCACGTTGGGCTGCACCCGCGCGAAAGGCATTCGCTCACAGAGGGCCAAGGCCTGCTGCCACTGCCCGGCTTTCTCGCAGGCACTGATCGCTGCACTGAAGCTGACCTCAGACGCCCAGCGGCCATGGGGAAGCAAAACACGGTTGTTTTTTTGGGTGAGTTTAAAGGAGAACTTGTCCCTCTCTTTTTTTCAGGGGGGAGAAAGGGCTTCCTTGTTTGGTTAGCTGAGTTTAACTGGGAATCCTTCCCAAACAAAAGTTATAATCAACCGCCGTCACCGCTGGGGACCTTGAATGGACCAATTTTCGAACCAACGACCGATTCAGGTCGCAGGTCACTTCACTTTGGGCATCAATTTGTGGAGGAGAATACCCACTTTTTGGGGCTGGTTATTAAAACAAAAAAAACGGGCCGGACTCCACTGGCTCCACTGGGCGACAATGGTTCGCCGCCCCACTCGTGAGCCCATGGCCCAAAAGAGCGCCAAGGCCCGCTGCCACTGCCCGCCTTTCTCGCAGGCGCTGATGGCCGCGTTGAAGCTGACGCTGTTGACCTGCAGCCTCGCATCTGACGCGGCCCAGAAGAGCCCCAAGGCCAGCGGCCACTGCCCGGCTTTCGCGCAAGCGCCTTGGTTGCTGCAACCCCCCCCCCCCCCGCAAAAAGTGCAGCACTTTTGGGGGGTTTAGTACGGCAAAACCCCTTGATTTACACCAAAAAGTTGAAGTCTAAAGATCCGTTGCGCAATAGCAGTCAAGGCGCTGATGACTGCACTGAGGCTGACTGCGTTGGCTTGCACTTGTGCGTCAGCCATGGCCCAGAAGAGGTGCAATGCAAGCTGCCACTCTGCAGCCTTCTCGCAAGCACTGATGGTTGCACTGAAGCTGATCACATCAGCTTCAAGCCTTGAGCTTCTCATGGTGCAAAACCAGTCCAAGGCGCACTGCCACTGATTCCCCTTCTCACAGGCAGTGATGATGGCATTGAAGCTGATTTCGTTGGGTGGCGCCCTTACCAGCGGTATGGCTGAGAACAACTCCAAGGCGGGCTGCCACTGTTCGCCTGTGCAAAAAAAAAGAGGAATCGGAACCCTCACGGGAGTGGGGTGGGGTGGGCTGGGGGGTGTTTGTTTTGGCGTCATTTTCCACCAACCCCAAAGTGGCCACCGAGCCTCCAAAAGAAGGAACAACAAACACACCCGCCTGTTGCACAGGCGCTAATGACTGCATTGAAGCTGATCACATTGGGTCGCACTTTGGTCTCGATGGTCTGGAACATGTCCCATGCCATGCGCCACCCACCTTTTCCACGAGCAGTGGTGGTGGAGTTGATGGTGACTACCTCTGTGGGAATTCAAATGGCACCCTGAATCTTGGTAGGTGTCTTCAAAGGGAAGCTGGAAATGAAAGGTGATCACCCCGTCGGGCCATGACCAAACATAGACCAACATGTGGAAACCAACAGTTCAAAAGGTTGATTCGCCTTGGTTGCAAGTGAGTGCCTGGTTGATTTTAAAGGGACACCTTTCAAACAAAAGGCAGCAACGGGTGTTGAGCAAAGTTGCACTGGGCTGCAGATTTGCCTCTGGCATGAGCCCAAAGAGGCGTGATGCCTGCCGCCACCGCCCAAGTCTCTCACAAGCGCTGATACTTGCATTGAAGCTGACCTCACTGGCCTGCACCTTTGCCTCAGGCATGGCCCCAAACAGATCTAACGCAGCCTCCCATGCTTCAAGAGCACTGATCGTTGTATTGAAGCTGACCTGAGCTGCCAAAAAACCCAGATCTAAAAGCCGAACCTTTTGCGGCCATGACTTAGAATGAACCAACCATGGACAACCAAAAGGTCAGATCCGGTCGATTGCAAGTGAGTCACCTCGTTCACTTGCACCTGTGCCTCGAAGACAGTCTTGAAGAGGCCCAGGGCCTGCAGCCAACGACCAGCCCCGCGAACGGCGCCGAAGCTGTAGATGTCAAGCTCCAGGTGCCGCTTGGCGATGGCCTGAAATGCCCCCAGCGCGTGCTGCCATTGACCGCCCTTCTGGCAGGCGCTGGCAGTGGCATTAAAGCTGATTACCTCACTGGCGTCTTTCTTGGACACAACCAAACTCGAGCTTCTTTGCCCTTACAGCAAACAAGACGCGTGCCAAGAACCCAAGAACCAGCCAAAAGTTTTTGCCAAAACGAGTAAGTTGCATTTGTTTGCACTCTTGCTTCCGGCATGGCTTGTAAAAGCACGCACGCCTCCCTCCAAGCACGGAGTCCTAACTTGCGTTCTGTGCGGCCACTGCCAGTGCACAAACGTTCACTTGTTGGCAGGTTAGTGGGACAATACTCATCTTACCCAACAGTTCAAGGTGGCTCCCCTAAGTTTTACAATGGAAACCCCGCAGAGGAATCTCCTTCTTGGGGAACCGATAGCAAACAAGTGATTTCAGGTCCTGAAAGGCACCGGCGATTACTCTCTGGCTGACCGTAAGCAAACGGTTGGACAGCTGACCCTGGAATCCTTCTGGGCGTCCATCAAACGAAAAGTGCACTGGAGGGTTCCACTGAAAAAATGGGTGTGGGTCGAAAATGGGTACCCAAAAGGCCCAAAATAGAGCCCTGGGTAATGGAACCAAGGACTAAAATCTGCGGTTTTCTGGTGGTCTAATTTTGACCCATTGCCCAAAAACAAAAGGGCTTCAACAAGTGTCACAAGACAATTCGCGGTGAGAGTCTCGAGCAGCTTGACATCGCCACCGTAAAGTCTCTCGCATCCAATGCCCGGCTTGCCACCAGCGGGGCCGTGCCGATGTCTGCTTGCTTCTCGGGTATGTGGCAGGTTTCTTCCACTTGCACTTGCATTGATGGGCCTAGGTTGGTGTAACTGACCCACAGAACAAGTTGAACTTGCCTGCTGGTTGGTGGGACACATTGTCAGCTTCAAAAAAAACAACGAAATGTGACTCACCAAGCCTTCCCCCGGTTGTACATTTTAATGCGTGTGAAAAAAGAGGCCCCTTACAGCACACCACTGTCTGAGGGGGCAGGGATGCCACAAGGGCAACCAAGAGTCTGCCGCGCCGGGTTCCGCGGAAGCGGCGCGCCGAGTTGCGTGGCCGAAGCGCGGCGAGTGGAACTAGGACGGCAGGCTGGCAACGAGGCACCGGCGACGTGGTTGGCCTTGAAGTCAGCGTTGCCTTGGACTGCAAGGTCCCAAATATGTTACACCTGGGTGTCCGTGCAAAAAAAAAGAAAAGAAGCCCAAAACACATGAGGAGTGCGTAAAGGGTAAATAAAATGTTGGTGAATTGTCAGGGGGATAGCAGGGGTACTACCCATTTGGCACGGGGTTTATCCCTTGGAGCGTTCCCTTGTGTCAAAGGCTTCCGCCCCCCTCTAACCCCTCTCACAAGGCGTCCTGAAAAGTCTGCCAAAAAACTACGGGGTTGCCTAGGTTTCCAGAAGCATCACGCCGCTTGAAGGAAACTCACTTCAATTCCGGCCAGTTGATAAATCTTGCACCACCATCACCTTTTAAGGGGAGAACACATGTAGCGAGCCCCTGAGCCAAAGACTCCCAGCAGAAACCTCCCCGGAACCGGCCGGCAACTCAGAACCCATTGGCGGAACGACGGGCGAAACATCAAAACATAGATGTAAAACAAAGAAAGCATGGAACAGCCACGTGAAGTCTGCCCAAGGAGGGAAACAGAAGGCCCCCCCAATATTCTCTAGCCAAGTTGCCTGCTGAAAGGGTGTGCTGACGTGGGCGCCGGGACCCCACTGCATGCCGTCCATCCATGGCAGGTGAGGTCGCAGGCTACCGGCGCCGAGTTGTTCCTTTAATTCCCTGCGGGAAGCTCAGGAAGTGGGTGTATTCTGTCAATTTAGGGGGGCATGCCCAAAATTGTGGCTTCCCTTTTGGTTTAAGCCAACCCTGAAAAGGGTTCCACACGCCCAAGTGAAACACCGAGTTTCGTCTGCGGCGTTTGACGCAACCTCACAGACCCCCAAATCCTTTTGTTTCCGGTCCGGGTGAGGGATAGAAGGAAAACAAAGAAAGGGTCCCTTCACTTCACTGGAGACCAAAAACATCCAAAAACCACAGCGGCCAAAAAACCACCCCAGTCCAATCACGCGTATGGCAACCCTTTCGGCATCCAAGGCGGGTATACCTTTGCTTTCCTAGAAATGGGGGACACCCGCTGACCTTAGCTCTGCTCCAAATCAACAAGGGCTTTGAAACGGACACTTCGTTGTTCCCTGCCCAACAAAAAGCGAAGGGAACTTCTTGGGGCTTGACTCAAATGACGAAGACGCTTGCGAACACAACGTTCAAAGCTTGTCAACCTCAACCCGACAGAGAAGATTCTATCTTGGACCTAGCCACCACTCACTGACAAAAGGAGAGTGCTCCAAAAAAATGGCCTGGCAAGGGGTTTTTGGGTTCAAAATCAAACTTCCCAACGACCCCAATGCTCGGGTCGCCCGGCAAAAAAGCGTGGCTCTGCCTGGACTGTCAGGAAGCTGGCCTCGCCTCCGGGAATCAAAGCACTCGACTCCCTTGCAATGGTAGAGCTGCGTCCGGAAAAACTGGGGATCCCCAAAGTTCTAGGGGTTGTATTCCTTTTCCATTTTCAACCATCGTTCTTTTCAAAAACCGGCCGTTTTCCATGGGATTCCGGAGGTTTTATCCCTGGAAAGGATGGAATTGGAAGGTACTCCTGGGAAAGTGGTTTCCCTCCGATTTCGGTGTCCTTTTTTTCTTTTTGGGGGGGGGGGGGGCGCCGGAAAGCGGTTGGTTTCCTTCTGGCTTCCTGTTTAAACAAGACTCACCCATTCCCCCCTGAAATGGGCAGCAGGATCCGAATCCTTTCCTGCCCAAATTACCCCACAGGGAAAAAACCCACGGTGCTCTCCAAATGGGCCAGGACTTCAAACCCTTGATCTTATGTTGACCCCGCATGAAAATCAACCCAACATATTTTTGAATTTCGGGGGTGGGGGCCCCTCTGAAAGTGGTCTGATTCCCCACTAAGCCCAAAAAACCCCCTTCATAATAAGCTGGGGTTGATTCATATGTGGGGCTGACTCCGAAGCCCCCGAGCTTAATCTTGATCTGGGGTCAACCTTCCCCTCCTGCCTTTAAAGGAACCCCCTTGCAACCCCCCAAGTTGGAAGCCTTGCGTACAAATTTCTCCGCAGTACCGTCACGGTGGGAAGTGAAATCGGCCTTCCCAACGGCGAAGTCATCACTTTGAGCTGTCTTGTGTTGAGGGTATCCTCAGTTTTTTGTGGTTTTCAAGGGAGGCCAAAAGGAAAACCACCATGTTTTAAGGCCCCCGAAACACAAACACCTCCCACTCACATCAAGCACCTTGCGGGAAATTCGATCGATCCTTGGCCTGCCAAACGCGACTCGGGGTAGAAGACCTCCTGCTCATGAGCCTCGGGCAAGCGAACAGGCCCTGGGTTCGCAGGAGATTCAACGATTCAACCCACAATCGTGGTTTTCCTCCAAAAAAAGATTGGCAACAAACCCCAACTAAAGTCCAGGAACTCTGGAAGTGACTCAGACATGAATCTGCCTGGATGCTGGCCCAAATGCAGATCCAAAAATAGAAATTACAAAAATTGAGCCCCGAGTTTGATGAATCCGTCAACAGCAGTCCGCTTCAGCACGGCCCTGTTCCAGCACGCAGCTTCAGCTCTGCCACACCTTGAGACATCGCTTTGTGCAAAGCCGCTTCAAGGAATGCAACACCGGCAGCCGACCGCTGGGCATCAAAACGCCCAGTAGGCAGCTGTATGCGACATCCGTGGGCTCCACCTGCATCTCCATGAGGTGGAATAGCGCAAGCACCTGCTTCCTTGGTGGCCCGCCGATTCGTTGCTCCTTCAACTTTAGTGAAATAGGTCACAAATCCCTCATTGGGTCCTAGTAAACCTCTCACTTCAGAAGTCTCAGAATATGGCAGGGAACCGCCAAGTGTCCATTGCTGCGCTCTTCTGCAAGCGCTAATGCCCGAACTGAAGCTTATCTCCTGGCTGTGGGTCAAAACCGTTTTGGATCCCATTTTGGGGAAGGTGAATTCACCACCCACTTTAGAACCTATTTTAGTGGTTGGATTGGGATGTTCACTGGGCTCGGTTGCTTTCTGCTCCCCTGCTAAAAGGGAATAACTGTTAGTGGGTTAATTCGGACAACCCCTAAAACTTGGCCAAAAGTGATTCAGTCCTAACATCCCTTGGCAAAATGCAAACCAAAGCGGGGCTACGGGAATTTGGATTTCCCATGGCCTCTGCATCGAGGAGACTTGCCAGCGCCTGCTGCCACTGGCTTCCTCGCTCGCAGGCGCTGGTGGCCGTGCCCCAGCTGACCTCGTTGGCCGTGACCTGAAACTGGGGTTCGTCCTCATGCCTCCATTTGCCTAAGCCGCCCGCTTTTTGTGTGGGTGTTTTTTTGGTTTTTGTTTTTTTTTGGTTTGTGTTTTTCCCAATAGTGATAGAATCTTCAAAACCAAAAAGGGAAAATACAGAAACAACCTGAAACAACTGGGGGTTACCCTCCCAACTAACATGGAACCTGACAGGGGTCCCTTTAAAAGGAAAGTTATCAGGACCCCCCTGTCAGGTTCCATGTTAGTTGGTGGGAGGGTAGTCCTCTTGCCTCCCTTTGCCTAAGCCGCCTGGAAAAAATAATCATGCTTCCAAGAGTGATAGATTCAACCTTCAAGACCAAAAAGGGGAAACAACATAAAAAGACATGTCCGGAAGCAAGTGGAAGCTCGTTGCCATGGCTGCAACCTGAGTTGAACCCCTGGACCCCTTTTCTACTCAGTAGGACTGGATGGTAAGAAGCCTCCATTTGCTCAAGTCCCCTGGAAAAAATGGAACATATTTCCAGTAGTGATAGATTCCCTTCAAAACCAACCAGGGGAAAATACAACATATTCCTCACCAAATGGAAGAGAAGGGTGCCCCGTGGCCTTGGCTGCAGGCATCATGGCCAACAACTCCAAAGCCTCCTGCCACTGCCCACACTTGGCACAGGCGCTCATGCTGGCATTGAAGCTGACCACGTCAGCATCCACCTTCGCCCCTTCCATGGTGTGGAACAGGATCAAAGCACGCTGCCACCTGCCATGCTCGCAAGCGCTGATTGCTGCACTGAAGCTGCAAACATCAAGTCGAACCCTCTCTGCTGGCATGGAGGCAAACACTGCCAATGCCTGCTGCCACTGCTCACCCTTTTCACATGCGCTGATGGTTGCATTGAACATGATCGAGTTGGCCTGCAATTCTGCTTCAGGCATAGAGATGAACAAGTCCAGGGCCTGCTGCCAAAGCCCAGACTTCTCACAAGCACTGATGGCGGCACCGGCGCTTACCTGATTGGGCATTACCCGTGCTTCAGGCATAGAACCAAACAAGGCAAGCGCCGTCTGCCATTGTCCACCTTTTTCGCAAGCACTGATGGTAGCACTGAAGCTAATCACATTGGCTTGCACCTTTGCATCAGGCATGGCTTGAAACATGGCCAATGCCTGCTTCCACTGCGCAGCTTTCGCACAAGTACTAATGGCAGCACTGAAACTGATGACGTTCGCTTGCAACTTTGATCTGGTCATGTCAGAGAGTAGGACAAGCGCGAGCTTCCACTGCCTGCCCTCCTCGCAAGCACTGATGGACGAATTGAAGCTGACTTCGTTTGCTTGCAGATTGGTTCCAGGCAGAGCTGCAAACAGGGCCAGCGCTTGCTGCCACTGCCCAGCCTTCTCACAAGCACTGATGGCCGTGTTAAAGCTGATGACGTCAGCTTGGACCTTTGCAGCTGGCATGGCTGCAAGCAACTCGGTCGC